ATATAAAACAATCATATTCTCTGTTTTACAAATTTACACAAATTTTTGTATGGATTAAACAAATTAGATACAACCTTTTAATTATCAAGCATTAGAAGTGCTGGTAGGCACATTTCGTTACCTTTGAACAGAGCCAGACTAGCTGTTTCCCCTGTTTCCAGTGTTAATGCTAAGCTAAGCTAACTATCTGCTGACTCAAGCTTCATTTCTATCACACAGATATGACAGTGGTATCTATGGTGGCACTGAAACATGCAAATAGAAAAAACACGATCAATGTAAGAAAACATCTTCATCAAATTGACAACTCATGCACAGCATTTAGACAACATGCTGCAAGTCCAGAAAACACAACCAAATAAAAAAAATGTGCTGGTGGTAGCACAGACGACATTTGAAACTGTTTCCAGAAGACAACTGATGTTGCTATGGTTATCATCTGTTCATTTTTATGCAACATAAACATGTAACATCTCAATATAAAGTAGCTGGCAAACCCACAAATGCAATGAGTTACCCAACACAACAAGCAGTTTGGCATGTGCGTTAGGTAATAAGGTGATATTAAACAGCATAACACAAAACAGTGTAGCCATATTTTGGTGAAACTATGACTGGAACATACACTACAGAGAATAATGACAAACATTTTGCTGTGGAAACTTGGAATCAATTGTGACGGACATAATTCAAGCTGGCTGCAGCAAGGACAAAACTACAAACTTTTTACAGCCACATTTCAAGCCTACAAGGGATGAGACTTTGATACTTAAAAGATAGACAGAGTGAGAGATATGAAGGGTGTTCAGTAAAGTGACCACCCAAAGAGTAACAGTCCTGTCCACTTTATTGATGGGACACTGCCCCCGGCTCGGCTAACTTTGATTGCTTCGGCAACTCGAGCCTGTTGAAATAGGACTGAACTTCCAGAGGATTATTCATCTGTGCTCCATCTCTTTGGCATAGTCACAGTCAGTTTCATTCCTCTCCAACATCCATCCTCATGAGGGATGTGCAAGCAGACAACACATCAACCTGGAGAAGAACCTTGACCAGATGAGGGGTT